ATATAAGGTGAAAAATATTATATATATTTAATTCTGATATTATATATAGAATATAATATTTTTCACCTTATAGAATTTAGATTTGAAACCAATTCTATACACAACGATCCAATTCATCTATTTAAATTTTAAAGCATCAAAATTTTAGACTCAAACAACAAATTGGATTTATTTTTGCAGCTGCTTGCTTTTTGCCAAAAATCTCTGGTCCTTGCGAAGGATATCATCCAACGTGGTATTATGATGCTGGCAGAAAGCAATGCGGTCAATTCGTCTATGGTGGTTGCCTCGGCAATGCCAATAAGTTTAAAACAAGAGAAGAGTGCGAAGAACTTTGTGTCACACCGAACGACATAGGTAAGCAATGATTAATTATGCATATATATGTGTGTGTGTGTGTGTGTGTGTGTGTGTGTGTGTGTGTGTGTGTGTGTGTGTGTGTGTGTGTGTATGTGTGTGTATGTGTGTGTGTGTGTGTGTGTGTGTGTGTGTGTGTGTATGTGTGTGGTGTGTGTGTGGTGTGTGTGTGGTGTGTGTGTGTGTGTGTGTGTATTCATTTAATTTAATTTGCTTTCCCATATTACACACTGAATTTAATCAAATAATAAATGAAATATATATTGCACTTGAGAAAATTCATGAACCAACCAAATTGACAGTTGTAAGTTTTTTATTTAAACTTTACCTGCAGATCCTTGTGATCAGCCGAAAGAAGCAGGTCCTTGCGCAGGTAATTTCACAAAATGGTACTTCAACCGAGAATCGCAAACTTGCGAACAATTCGTTTACGGTGGTTGCAAAGCGAATGACAACAACTTTCCGACAGAAATTGCTTGCCACCAACAATGCTTACAGCCAGGTCGAAGAAAAGGTTCGTTTCATTTATATATTTTTATCGCTTTTTATATATAAGCATTAAAATTTCGTGCATTTTACATAAATTACAAAAATTATTTATGTGACATTCGTCTAAAAATATTTTTTCAAATTACTTTAATCAGTATCTGTTATTTATAATGAATCTTGGCTACCAACGAGATATTATACAATTATTATTCTTTTAAAATTGATTTCAAGTGATTTGAAAATTAATATTTTTATATATTATATGAAATGTTGGTATTGATATTTTTATCGAATTAATTATTTGTGACATAATGACTAAAGCCTGGATTAAAGTTCTGAGATCAACCGTAGCTAGCTCTCCTCACTACATTTCATCCCCTAAGCGCCATCGCTTCATTGTTCGCCTAGCTTTGGGCGAGTCAATGGGAAGAATCGTGAGGAACAGGCTACGGTCGATTCGAATTAATACGTCACGCGTATAATTCGGATTCTAATAATGACTATCGACTTTATAAACTTTATTTGAGTAAAAAGTTATTGAAGATCAATTTTCGGCAATTTTTAGGAATTAATATTTTGTTAACTATTGCGAAAATTGTAAAATGATAAAGGATTTTTCTTCTCAGTTTAATCCATTCTGCCCCTTGCGATAAATTTATCATTATTTTCGAAACACTGTACATTTGGATATGGATATAAAAATTTATCAAAATTAAAGAATCGTCATTTTATATAATATAAAAGAAATTTGTGAGATAAAATTTAAATAAAATTAATAATAGGAATAAAATATTTACACTAATAATATAATATTTATATTACACTAATATAATATTTAAATTTTGACTGAAAAATATAATAAAAACATTATGGGATTATTCAGCAGATAAGTGAAGCATAAGTTTATTAATAATGAATAATACTTTTGTAAGTATATCAGGCTTATTCAAAATTCGTTTGCCACCGGTATTCTAATCGTTTCTCTAGTCGTTCTTCATCGACTTGATTGCATAGATGGACGAACTTTTACAGTAAAACTGTCTGATGTATGCATCTTGAAGAGAGATCCCGGACCCTGTCCGGGTTCGGCATTACGCTGGTATTACGATATCGAACGTGTCACTTGTAGCCAATTTGTTTACGGTGGTTGTAAAGGCAATGCCAATAGATTCCGTACTCTTGCTGCCTGCCAGCAACGTTGTCCTTCACAAGGTATAGACAGCAATGAAAAAAGAGCTTGCTTCGTGCACAGTGACAAGAAAACTCAATACTTTTTTGCTCAATTTTGAGAAAACGTGTTATTTTTTCATTTTTTTTTTAAACAAATTTAGCTCTTAGGTGATGGTAACCGAAAGTAGTATTTAAAGCTGACTATGGATGCATTCATCAATATTACGACCGCTCACTGAGCGATCTCTTGTACCTGTTTGGCCTTTATTTTTAGATCTAGGAACCAATTATACCAATTATATATGCAAGAGCTCACTGAGCGCTCAGTGAGTGGTTGTAGTACTGAATGCACCCAATGAATCATTATCAGTTATTACGGCAGCACAATATGAGACTATAAAATAACACAATCATATGATTCGCAATCGCGCGTTAGCTTTCACACAGTTTTTGATCTGTATACACGCTTTTACTTGCTCGTAATCTCGCTCAACACAATATAAAAATATGAATTCTTTAATCTTTCTTACAATAGAATTAACGTAAAATATTATACTGCATTTTTTTTTATTTAAAATTAAATTATGTTAAAAGTATAGTTAAAATTAAAATCTTTTCACAACACTGGATTAAACCTAATTGTAGTCAATTAAGAGAGAATTGTAATATTTTATAAATTATTTATATACTTATTATTTAATATTTAATTCTATAAGTTTTTAATTATATAATAATTTTATTAGAAGAACATTTACTCTTTGTATGTGTTTAAGACGCGCACATGCGCGCGTATGCATATATGTATGTACATTATAATATTTATAATATTTATGACTCTCTAGCATTAATATATGACAGTGACAGAAAAGAAATTAGTAAATTTGGGTTCTTATCAACTATTTATTTAAATTGAGTGCATATTCATAAGTTGATTTGTTAAGTAACTGCAATCTGGCTAACAGTAGGAATAAGAACTTTTTAACTAACTACAGGTGTAATGAAATCAGCTGGAATTGGAATAGGATTGATTAATATCTTATCTAACTCTGCATGACATAATAATTAATACGATTAACAGATATTTGCACGTTGCCGCGGGCGGAGGGTACATGCATAGAGAAGCAATCTCGATGGTATTTTGATCAATCGGAGAATCGCTGCATGCCATTCTATTACACTGGCTGTAATGGCAATAAAAATAATTTTGAATCTAGAGACGCATGCGAGTCTGATTGTCCGCCTAAAATTGGTAAGATTTTATTTCCCTTAATATTTTTGTCCCTCCCTCTTCCCTCCTCTCTCTCCAACTTTTTCTATTTCAAATGTTATTATAAAAGCGCTTATTCTTTTCGCATTTTTATTATATTAACACTACAAACTCTTGTATACAAGTCAATCAAAAAAAAGTTTCATTTAATTTAATTATAAATTAATTGAAAAAAGTTTATATTTAGTTGCTTATGATATGTAATATTATATTACATGTAATATTATATTACAGGTATTATATTACATGTAACACACATTGCAACTTTTTCAATATACAGAAAAATAAAATATAATTACTTACCAATTTTCTTTTTCTGTCTGTTCTTCTCACATTCTGTAATACAAAAATTTATATTATAATTTATTTTCACTATTTTTTTCAAAATTTCAAAATTTATTATCACTATATTAATTAACACATAATATTATTAAAAATACTAATAAAGATAGTAAGATTTTTTAATAATCTTCCTTTATACGATCTCTATCAGTTAGAACTTTTTAGCAAGCAATAATATATATAAGTACATAGTACAATTTTTAAATTCATGTTGAATACAGAGCAAGATATCTGTCTCCTACCCGCTCTTCTGGGAGAATGCCATAACTACACTCAACGATGGTACTATGATTCCTATGAGCAACACTGTCGGCAGTTCTATTACGGTGGATGCGGCGGAAATGAGAATAATTTCATTACCGAACATGACTGCATCAATAGGTGTGTAGCGGTTATTACCACTCCGCCTCCACCGGGACAAGTTGAGTTCCAGCCAGGTAACGTTTTTAACAATTTGAAAAATTGTTCAAAAGTAACAACATCACTATTTATCTAGTCTATCATATATATTCTAGAATTCTGCTTCTTATTCGACGAACATGGTCCTTGCTCTGAAAATCAAGTAAAATGGTTTTACGATAGTCGTGATGGTGTTTGCAAACAATTCCGATACGGTGGCTGTCAGAGTAA